AAGCTTTCTATGGTGATATTTCTGGCTATTCCTTTCTCTCCCCCTCAAGTGTCTATTTTACAATGGTATGCCAGGGAAACCAAGATTCAAAAGACATCTTAACATTGTTTCCCTCCTTTTACCCATTCAAACCATGCCTCAATCCCTGTTTCCCAGAGCCCTGTTGTTCCAAGGTTGTGCATACGTCATTATTTACCTCTGTCCCACTTAGCCTATGCAAACCTGCTTAACTATTCCCCCATCCGCCTTGTTCTTCCACTCCCCTCCCCCTTCTTGTTTATTATTCCCCTCCCTAGCACCCAGACTATCTTGTGTCTATTCCCTGCCCTGTACTCCACCTTCCCTCCCTCCCATCACCGCACCCCCCATACCAATAACCAGCAAAGAATCCCCCCCCCCACACTTTTAGCATGGGTTCTTTTTATTAGTTTTTTACAGTAATGGTCTTATTCAGTATTTCTCCTTTTGCAAAGGTTAATTTCACTCAACATAATGTCATCAAGGTTCATCCATGTTATGTGGTGGCTTACAGCTTCCTTGTTCTTCAAAGTAGCATAATATTTCATTGTGTGTATGTTTAAGGTTACTTTTGATGTATAACATGGTTTCAATGATTTGGACAGATCAGGGCAAACTAATCTAAATTCTGAAACAATTTAAAAATACATTTAGTTTTACATACACAAACAAATATGTTGCAAAAAGATGGAAAATACATACTTTGAACTACTAGGAGTAGATACTTTAGAAGTGAGAAAGGGGATGAGTAAATGGGGAATTTGACTCTTTGCTTTTTATATTGTTTGATTTTTTTAGTAATGAGTATGTATTTATGTGTTCTCTTTATAATAATGTTAGGTGCTTTTGAGTTGATTTAGATTCATAGCAACCCCATGTGACACAGTAGACCTGCACTATAATTCTGGGAGCACTGTAATTCTGGGAACACTGTAAAACTGCACTCTAATTCAGATGTTTCTCCTGCTACAGAGCGGCTCAGTAGGTTCAAACACCAACCTTTTGGTGAGCAGCCAAGCTCTTACCCATTGTGCTACCAGGTACCAGGGTGCCTTTTTATAATAATAAATCTTAGTAGTGGTTCCAACGAACTGTTTAGCCCTCAAAGCCTAAAATATTTTCTAACTGACCTCTGGTCTGTAGTGTAATAGAATTATACTCTTCGGAAATTCAGGAATAGCTTTGAAATCAAGATCAGCTGATCTTCTGTTGTACCAAATTTGAATCAATATAGCAAAATCAGTATTAGGAATGTAGGACTTTAACCTTGTATTATAACTGAAATAATGATGAGCTGATGAGTTTTTCAGCAGAAATAAATTTGTTATAATTTTCCCCATAAATTCAATTTTTTAGGAAATAAAGGTGTAAATTCTTACTATCGAATATGTATTCTGTTATGCTCATGTTATTAAAGTAACCTCTTTCTCCCTCAGTATGTCATGATTCTTTTAATCTTGATCTGAGTAATTGAAATCCAATAATCCCTACTAATCTAGGTGGAAACCTGCTAGTATTGGTGGACCAGCATGCTGCCCATGAGCGTGTTCGTTTGGAACAGCTTATTATTGGTAAGGATCTGTTTGGGACTAGAAAATATTTGAAAATCCCCAGCAAAATTCGTATACCTGAAAGAGTTTTTCTCACTTTGACTGTTATATTTGTTGTTGTTGTTATGTGCCGTGGAGTCGGTTTCAACTCATAGCGACCCTGTACAGGGTTTCCGAGGCTGTAAATCTTAACAGGAGCAGAAAGCCTCATCTTTCTCTCACGGAACAGCTGGTAGTTTTGAACTGCTGACCCTAAGGTTCGCAACCCGATTCATAACCACTGCGCTACCAGAGCTCCTTTTGACTGTTAATATATGTATGAAAAATTATGCCCAAGTCTCTGGTTTGACCAGTTGTAACTGAGAGAATGTAATAATAGTTCAATTTACTAATTCAAACATTTGGGCCTACTTAAATAGTCAGAAGTATATTTGTCCTATATTTGTCATCAACTCAGCAGTACCTAAGAAGGGCAACTTTACTATGCTATGCAGCACAAAGATTTGCCTGTTTAGAATGAATATTCTTCTTTTTTTAAAAAAACTTTTTGTGAATTGAATGAAGATTTACAGACAAAATCATCGGTTTTACATTGAGCAAAGCAAACAATCTGTTTTATCTCAATGGTTGCAATCCTCTTCAAGCAACAGTAGTTATCCCACTTCCTCCTTAAAGGTTCCTATTTCCATTCTATCCACCTTCCCATCCCTTCTCTACTTTGTCCTTAGGTAAACATCGCCCTTTTGTTTTGATTGATTGTCTGTTCCATCATTCATAGTGAACATACCTTACTAGTGTTGTCCCCCAGTATACGCATCTGATAGTTGGTTGGAAGTTGGGCCATGAGGATGAGTTCCTTTCCAGACCTGAAGGGTGGTTGATGGTCATAGTCTTAGGTTCCTCCAGCCTCTTTCTGACCAGTAACCCCAGTCTTTAAAAAAAAAAAAAAAATTTAATAATTTTAAATTTTATTCCACATATTCTGCCGTTCTATCTGGAAGCTTCTAATGTGATTCTTTCAGAGCAGTTGGTTGGTTGTAATAACTGGAAATCATCTAGTTCTTCTGGTCTTAGAGTGGTGGAGACTAATGCTCACATGTTCCATTTCTCTGTTGGACTAACCATTTCCAAGCCTCTTCAGTTCTCATCACTCTTCTTCTGATGAAAAATTAATAGCTGCACCTGAGATGGTCACTTTTAAGATCCCAGACACTGCTCACCCAAGTAGGATGTAGAGCATTGTATTTGGGGGACTATGTTATACCAGTTGACCTGACACTATGGTCCTGAGCCCCCAAGCCCAACAACTCATTGCTTTAAGATGTTTGGTAGTATCTAAGAAGTTTTCATCATTTTGCCTGCTGTATGTTCCACCACATTCATAGTTGTATTTGCAGGAAAGATAAATACCCATATACCTAGATCCTCTTTCAAACTCTAACATATTTGTGTGATACATAAGCATGGCATTGCAGGATAAGCACTTGACTGCAAGGTCAGTTTGATCTGCAAGATTGGGGTTCAGACTGCTCCACGGAAACCCTATACAGGGGTCACTATGAGTTGGAACCGACTCAACAAACTTACCACCACCACCACATAGCTCCCACTCTTCCTTTCATACACATTAAGGCTGAGTCGCTGTCCATGTCTCTACCCGAAGAACATTGTTGTTCTTTCAAGATTGTTGTGTATGTATCACTATTTACCTTTATACCTTTTAGCCCTTGCATACCTTCCTGTGTCTTCACCTGTCTTCATCATTCTTTTGCCAACCTCCCTCTTGTATATTGCACTCCCCCTACTTGTATATTGCCTTCCCCATTATCCAAGTTAACATGTGTCTACCTTCTAGCCAGTGAACTATTCTTCCATTTTAAAAATTTCTGTTAGTTTTTTTGTGGTAGTGTTTTGTAGTTTTCTTTGTATAGGCCCTTTGTTTTTCTGGTTAGATTTATTCCTAAGTATTTTTAGGTAGCTATTGGTGTGGCTCGATGGCACTTAACAACACCAACAACAATTTGTGTGGCACTGTGGGTTAATGCTCTGGACTGCAAAGTCTATTTGAACCACAAGTTTGGCAGTTCAAGCTCACCAGCTCCTTGGAAACCCCATATAGGATTGCTATAAGGTGGAACCAACTTAACAGCACACAACAACATTGTAAATGGTATTATTTTCCTAATTTCCTTTTCAGAACTGTCTTTATTAGTATAGGGGGACCTAACTGATGATTGCATGTTGATTTATTCTTAGGCACTCACCAACTTCTTCTGTTGGGTGTTATCAGGAGATAAGCTTGTGCACTGTACTCGGTTCGCTGTTTGTGCAGTTCAGTATGTGTTAGCAGATGTTGGTTGTTGTTGTTTATCTGGGACATAGTAGTTGGTATTGGCTCTTGCTCCATCGTGGAGAGTATGGTTGTGACTAAGCCGTACAGACGCAGTTGCTGGTTCCTGTTGGGTGAGGCAAAAAGAGAAAATACACATAAAAAAAGAAGGAAAACTAACACAAGCCAACAAACAACAGTGAAAACAGAAAATAGTAAAGAGAAAAAAGGTAACAGCTAGAAAAAGAATACACACACAAAAAAAAAAGAAAGAAAAAAAAGCTAGGAGGGATTGAAAAAAGAAGCAGAAGCAGCTGGGAAAGAAAAGCAGCAAAAGTAGAAGAAAAAAGATGAAGGGAAGATAGAAAGTTTAGAAAGCATGAGGGAGAAAGAATAATAAACAACAACAACAACAAAAAACCACAACAGGGCAGGAGCCCAACACAGGAGAAAATTCTGGGGTTTCCTGCCAATGAGAATTTCACCTTGTGTGTGGGTAAGGGATGAGACAGTTACACTGAACCCTAGATGAGTTCCTGTAGGGCTAGGTGTTACCTGTTCTGAGGCCCCAATCCCGAAGTAGTCCATGCAGCCCCCAAAGCAACTGGCAGACCAGGGCATATCTGTCTTAGAGGGGAACTAAGTGTGTGAGATCCCTCTAGACCAGGGCTGACCAGAACTGGCTCTGCAAGTCCAGAATAGGCCACACATGAGTCCAGGTGCTGGGGTTGATACTGCTAGCTCCCCACACACTTTGATGTAACTTTGACAGCCTGGAGGGCAGGAGCTTCCTTGGGAGTGTACACAGATGGTAGCTTGCCACATCTCTGGTCACCACAGTGATGTGGGATACAGGAAAACAAAACAAATTTCATCCCTTTCTCTCCACCAATAAGCAGTATGTCTCTGTGCCAACTACTGCCTTCTTGCCTTCTGAGTCGCCCATGAAAGTTCAAGATGGCCACACTGCAGCTGGCTGGCCTGTACAGATCTCCAGCTGCTTTCCTTTTTTTTTTTTTTTTTTACCTCCCCCATGCATCTGATCAGCTGCTTTTCCTAGTGAGAACTAGTCCAGGGCTGACCAAGGCCAATTCCACAGATCTGGAACAGGGCCAATGCAGACAGATCACCTCTCCTTTAATGGAGCCCCCAACTGTGGTACCTGGAGGGTCGGAGCATCCCTGGGGGTGTACGTGGGTGGGGACCAGCCTCACCTCTGGTCACCAGGGGAGTATACAGAAAAAGAAAAAAAAAATCGCACCATAATTTCTACAAGTCAGAGGTATGTTTCTGTAATGCCAGTATGTTTTCTAGTTTCTGAAGCTGCTCACAAAAGCTCAAAAAGCTGCACCCATCTGGTGGGCTGGCTCTGGTCACCAAGTCTCCCTTTTTTTTTTTTTTTTTT